CTTTGTCCAGTGTGCGTAGATGTTGGAACAATACCCGCTGGTTTGTGTCGTTGAACTCACAGCCCTTCTCGTCACGTGTCAGACAATGACTATTAACGTGCATGTGGACATGTTAGATGTGAGGAGGAGATCAGCATTCCAAGCATGCTGTCATCTGGGAATCGACGAGCCTGGAGCGGTGCTGAGGAGTGACGAGGAGAGCTGCCGTGTGGCTCTCGTGCGGGTGACAGGATGCGGCAGCAGCTCTTACTCTCGCTCTTTGAACGAGACAGTGAGCCCTGCTGATTCATCAGTTCTGCCGCATCGCTGCAGATTTCAGCATTCATCTGCCCTCGACCTTCTGAGAACCAGGACGCTGGCTTCTCCTCCTTGGCCCCGTGTTGTCCACCTCACGCTTTGCTCAGCCATCTCTGTGTCTTCAGCTTGGGAGGAAATGCACCCTCAGCTCTGCTGTTAGCGTCACAGAATACAGGGAAAAACACACCAGAGGTGGCCTTCGAACTGCCAGCCTTTTGGTTAGCAGCCAAGGGCTTAACCACTAAATTTGATGGTCTGACCTTTAATGGGGAAACCCTGGTGGTGTAGCCCTGCTGGTTAAGAGCTTGGCTGCTAACCGAAAGGTGGGCAGTTTGAATCCACCAGCCGCTCCTTGGAAACCCTATGGGGCAATTCTGCTCTGTCCTATAGGGTCGCTATGAGTTGGAATCGACTGGATGGCAATGGGTTTGGGTTTTTTTTGGTGTCCTTTAATATCAGTACCGGTTGTCAAGTCAGCTCTGACTCATGGAGACCCCATGTGTGTCAGAGTGGAGCTGTGCTTGTAGGATTTTCAGTGGCTGATTTTTCAGAAGTAGATCACCGGGCCTTTCTTCTGAGGTGCCTCTGTGAGGACTCAAACCTCTAACTTTGGTTAGCAGCCAATCATGTCAACTGTTCGTGCCATCCAGGGACTCCACCCTTTAATAATTTGTTAATAATAGTATTTACTACATTCTTTAATAATTATAATTCTTTCTTTTATATTCATACTATCTTTATCACTTAATTCTGGGAGCGTGGTTACTCAATGCCGGGCACCATGATTAGCTCTTTGCATGTTTTTGTGTAATCCTGTGGACACCTTTATAAAGTATGGATACTGTTGGTCCTACTTTACAGATTAAGGAATGAAGCTTAGAGAGGATAAGTAAACCGCCCAGGGTCATGCAGCGAAGAGGCAGAGTTGGGATTTGACGTTGGTGTGTCTGACTCTGAAGCCCGTCCTCTGGGCTGCCCTCCTTCAGGGACGGCGAGGCCCTCCTTTCTGCATCGCCAGCAGTAGCGTTGCTGGTTTTCCTGGGGTGTTCTGCCACACTGAGCAGAGAGGCGGCTACTGACCAGGCGTGAGTGGAGTTAGACGTCCTGGAGGCTGGCTCTCACACGCCACTGTCACGGCCCCAGGGTCCAGATTCCGGCCCTGCAGAACCTCCAGGATGGTTAGTCATAACTGAATGTCACAGTCAAGAATGCAGACAGTCTGCTCTTCCTTGGTGCTGCCTAACGGAGGTGGCAGCCATCTCCTGCCGGCACCACGGCTGCCCTTAGACCCCTGGTGAAGCCCAAGAGCATCAAAAAGAGGACCAAGAAGTTCATCCGGCGCCAGGCAGACCATTATGTCAAAGTGAAGCATGACTGGCACAAGCCAGAGGCATTGACAGCAGGGTGCGGAGAAGATTTAAGGGCCAGATCTCGATGCCCACCATTGGTTACAGGAGCAACAAGAGAACAAAGCGCACGCTGTCCAGTGGCTTCCGCAGGTTCCTGGTCCACGATGTCAAGGAGCCAGAAGTGCCGCTGATGTGCAGCAGATCTCACTGCGCTGAGACTGCACAGCTTCCACCGGAACCGCAAAGCCATCGTGGAAAGAGCAGCCCGACTGGCCGTTAGTCACCAAGCCCAGTGCCAGGCTGCGCAGCAGAGAAAATGAATAGACGGCTCATATGCAAGTCTTACTGTGTTAAATAAAACCATAAAAACCCTAAAAAAAACAAAACAAAAAAAGAATGCAGACAGTCTCACGGATGCTTTTTCAAAGGGTCCCACTAGCATGTCAGCAATACTTCTTCTACATTGGAACCTTTTTTAATTGCATCTGTAACTCACGGTCCTCTGCTTACAGTGTGTCCCTCTGTAGGCAGAGTGTGTTGTTGGCGCTGTCAAGCTGATTTCGACTCACAGTGTCCCCATGTGACAGAGCAGAACTGCCCCATAGGGTTTTCTAGGCTGTAATCTGTACGGGAGCAGAGGGAGAGGTCTTTTCTCCCCCGGAGCCACTGAATGGGTTTGAACTGCCAACCTTTTGGTTAGGAGCCGAGTGCTTAACCATTGCACCACTAAAGCAAAGTCTACACGTATAAAAAGTCTGCTGCAGCAGAGAAATGAAGCTGTTTGGTAATGGAAAGAACCCCCATCCCCACGCCACCCCTACCGCTACCACCAGGACTGGGGATTCTTGAGTTCAAAGCCAGCCTTCCCACAGACTGAGGTTTTGTTGAAATGATCAACCTTTCTGTTCATTGGTTTCCTCATCCGTCCAATGGGAGCGGGTAATGCTTGTCCCAGCTACCCAAGAAATGTACTGACGTCTTTAATGGGAATGTGGGAGACGGGGCGGTGAGGTGTCAGCCAGTGAGATCACGGGACGGAGCAGGTTGTGGGGACTGGGTGTGCTTAACCTGGAGAAGAGAGAACTTGGGAATTAGGGGGTGCTGAGCCCTGGTGGCGCAGGGGTTAAAGCGCCCGACAGCTAACCGAAAGGTCGGTGGTTTGAAACCAGCAGCTCCACAGGAGAAAGACGTGGCAGTCTGCTTCCCTAGAGATTTACAGCCTTGGAAGCCCCTATGGGGTTGCTGTGAGTCGGAATCGACTCAACGGCAGTAGGTTTGGGTTTTTTTGGTGGGTCAGCAGCCCGGGAGCCCTGGTGACGCAGTGGTTAAGCGCTTGACTGCGAACAGAAAGGTCAGCGCTTTGAACCCACCAGCCGCTCCAGGGGAGAGAGACCTGGCGAACAGCTTTGGAAACGCTGTGGGGCAGTTGTGCCCTGTCAGTTGGGGTCACTATGAGTTGGAATCGACTCCGCGACAGTGGGTTTGGGGTTTGTAGGTCAGGAACCCTGCTGATAGTAGCTGTCTTCAGATACGTGGCTGGCAGTCTTGCGGAAGAGAGGGGAGATGCTCGGTATCCCAAGCTGAGAGCTAAGAGGGCTGCCGTCTCGGCCTCGAATGCTTTTCTGTCAGCAGTCCCTTCGTAGCTTCCTAGGAAGGCCTGATTCCGGAATCACTTGCTCCGATGTTCTCAGGCGGAGTCGCTGCTTTCCTCGGGGCCCATGCATGCTTGCGTCTCTCCTGGTCCGCTCTGTAGGGCGTGAGTGGGGTGTCAGGCGCGACAGTTCTTCCTCTGCTTGTTTCTCGGGTAGACTTGGAGCCCTGTGAGCCAAGAGGAGTCGGCCTCCTTTAACCTTGGACCCCCGAGTCTGGCAGGGTCCCCCGATGCACGTAGCAGGCACTCAGAAGTTGTTTGTTGAGTGAATGAGGAAGTGTTACAGGGAGGGAGATTTCCACGGAGCTCAGAAATGCACAAATGAATGAAAACTGCTAGACTACGAGATGGCTGTCCAAACTCAGCATTAATCGGAAGCACAAGGCTGGAGGTGTTAGAAGGAGTTCTTGCTTCAGATGGGAGGTCAGGGTCACCACTAGGGTCGTCTCTTTTTATGAGTCTTGAGTGTCATGAAATAAGGTGATAAATATGACGGTGGGGAAGAAACAACAGAATACTCTACAGCTGCAAGGTGGGTTCGTCCTTACGAATAAAAGGATTGTAAGGAGATTAATGGTATGAGTGTTTTAGATAATTTCTTCCGTGCATTTAATGTCGGATCTAATTTATAGGTATATAAAGTGTATTTTGTACATATACATACATGTGATGGAAGCAAACTGGTTAATTTTAGAGGACAAAGATAATTTTTAAATTAGCTATAATCATTCTAACTTGTTTAAAGTGTTGAAAACCAGACATCTAAGTTGGGGCATTAAAAAATACTCCAAATGGACCACAACTACCGCAGCCTCCACCAGACTGAGTCCAGTACAGCTAGATGGTGCCGGGCTCCCACCACCGACTGCTCTGACAGGGATCACAACAGAGGGTCCCAGACAGAGCTGGAGAAGAATGTAGAACAAAATTCTAACTCATAAAAAAAGACCAGACTTACTGACCTGACGGAGACTGGAGAAACCCCCAGAGTATGGCCCCCGGATACCCATTTAGCTCCGTACTGAAGTCACTCCTGAGGTTCACCCTTCAGCCAAAGATTAGACGGGGCCATAAAACAATGACACACGTAGCTCCACCATGTATACAAGGCTAAGTGGGCGCACCTGCCCGGGGCAAGGACGAGAAGGCAGGAGGGGACAGGAAAGCTGGACCAATGGAAATGGAGAACCCAAGGTCGAGAAGGGGAGAGTGTTGACATGTCACGGGGTTGGCAACCAAGGTCACAAAACAATATGCGTATTAATTGTTTAATGAGACATTAATTTGCTCTGTAAACCTTCACTTAAAGCACAATTTAAAAAAAAAAAGATTACAAAACAAAACTGCAGTCTACGGAGATGAAGCGGGCGAGACAGCTGAATGTCGCGTGGGATTCGGGCTTGGATCTTGGATCAGGAAAAGGACATTAGTGGGAAAACTGGTGAAATCCGAATAAAGTCTGTAGTTTGTGGTATTGTTCCGATGTTAACGTCTTAGTTCCTAACAACTGGAACGTGGTTGTGGAAGATGCTAACATTAAGAGAAGCCAGGTGGAGGGTCTGGAGGGTATAGAGGAACCTTATGTACTATTTTTGCAGTTCTTCTGTAAGGTGAAAATGTTTTCAAAATTAGCAGTTTTAAAAGATAAGCCCGTAAATGGAAAATTTAAGTGAACGAAATCTTCCCTTCTGTTCGTTTTTTAGCGATAGCCCTCATGCTGTTCGTGACGTGGAAGCGTGGTTACCCCGACTGCACGCCCTTGTTGTCGGACCTGGTTTAGGCAGAGATGATGTTCTTCTAGAAAATGTCAAGGTAATGTATATTATTGTTAAATATTCTGCTCACGACAGACTTACACCTTAGATCTCCTGAAGTCGGAACAGAAATGTTTTTCTTGCATTTTCCAGGCATAAATACATTCTGTTGTTTGGTCTTCTGCATGCCTCTTTATTGATAAATTAAGATGGATAAAAAGCCGTTTGGGGGTAGAGGAGGAACTTGGTGTAAAGGCAGTGAACTCTGCTTCAAAGCAAAAAACAAAAACCAGGCCGAAGGAGTCTGTTTTTCACCACTGGGCGCTAGCTCTTCATAGCGAACAGCAGTAGAAAGTAAACGTGGAATCGCTGAGATGTTCTGTGGGTACCACTGGATTATGTGTTTTACATCTGATACGGTCAGAGGCTGGAGGGTCACAGTCGGGCAGTACTGACCAGTGGACAAAGGTCGGAGTCAAAGGTTCCAGTTCACCTCCCATGTGACCCCCACGCTTGTTTTTGGGACCCTGGCCAGTTACTCAGCCCCTCCACACCATCATTTCGTCCCTCATAAAGGGGGTAATTCCACCTGCCTGAAGGTTAATGTGGGTAAAATCGTGTAAAATGCTTTTCACAGTGCCCAGGTAAGCACGGTATACAGAATATTCTTAGCTGCCGTTGAGTCAGCCCCAAGACATGGTAACCACGTGCGCAATGGAAGGAAATGCTGCCCTGTCCTGCACCACCTCCACGATCAGCTGCGGATCAGACCATTGTGGACCACGGTCATGAGGGAGAAGAGAGGACTGCAGGGCAGGGTGGACCACAGTTAGGAGGGAGAAACGAGGACTGCAGGGCAGAGTGGACCACAGTTAGGAGGGAGAAGAGAGGACTGCAGGGCAGAGTGGACCACAGTCGTGAGGGAGAAGAGAGGACTGCAGGGCCGAGTGGACCACACTCATGAGGGAGAAGAGAGGCCTGCAGGGCAGGGTGGACCATACTCATGAGGGAGAAGAGAGGCCTGCAGGGCAGGGTGGACCAC